ATTCACTGATATATTCCTTATACCTGGCACTCCTACTGTTCTGGGATGTTTTACGTATCTTCAGTGTTAGGTCTGAATCTGTATCGTCTTTGTTGGTTTATTTTCTATTTTCAGTGGAGCACCCAGGTTGACTAACTTCCTAAAGGGTTAGTCTGAAGCATAATTTTGAGACTTTGTAGATATCTAAAAAGGTCTTTATTCTGATCTCATACTAGACCAGTGATTTTCCTGAGATGCAGGTTCTAGATTGGAGTGAATTTTAGTCATTCGCCATTGTTTTCTGTGTTGCTGTTGGAAAGCACCATGCATTTTATATTTCTTCTCCCCCTGCCCCTTTGGAAGTTTTTAGGACTTTTTCAATATTCCCAGTGTCTGAATTCAAGCTAATTAACTTATTTTTTTATTTTGGTGGTGATTAAGCCCAGGACTTCCCACATTTTATGTGCTTACCATTGAGGTACATCCTTAGGTCTAGTGTCTTAATACATTCCATTTTGGAAATCCCTTTGATTGTTTTTGGATAATTTTCCTTTATCTCTTGTCTATTCTTTTATTATGGAATCAATTAGATATTGGACTTTGTGGATTGATCTTTTGCCTGTTGTTTTGTTGTTGCTTGTCCCATTTTCTTTTTACTTTCTATAAGTCTTTAACTTTAACACTATTATGTTTAAAAAAGTTATCATTTGTTTAAATTTCAAGTTTTCTCTCCTGTTCTTTGAATGTTTCTCCTGTTCCTTTTTTGCAGGATCATTTTCCATTTTTAAGAAAATTACTGTGATTTTCTTTCTTGAAGTTTTTTTCTATATACTTTCAGTCTACAGTCTATAAGTTGCTTTTTTTTTCTTCTTGATTTTCTGTTATTTATTTTTAATTTATGTAGAGTGCTGGGGATTGAACCCAGAGCCTTGCACACTGACCATGTTCTCTATCACAATGCTATACCACAGTGCTATACCCCCAGATTTGGGATTCTGTGATAAAGGCTTTTACAATGTTTGGTTTTCTTTTGTTTTACCTTTACTTATATGCCAACAGAAAAAAGTTTACTGTGTTTAAGGTTTGGACTTGTTAACTATGGCCTAGGTTGTAGGCAAATAAGAGATTGGTGTTTTTTTTTGGTGGACCCTGAGGTACTTCTCTTATGTATCTTTAATTGCATGCTGCTGGGTTTTCCTTGAGGTGAATCCTCCATTTCCTTCCTAGGATGCACACTGGCCTCAGAATCTTGGCCGCAAACATGCAGGTGTCTGTAGTTTTAGCCATTAAATTGAGAGCTTTACTTAATTCCTTTAACTTTATTTTGGCATCACTCTCCCTTTTTTTTTTTTTTCTGAGCCCTTGCACCATTGATCCCTTCTTGCCCTAAATAAACCTCCCTGTAGGGATTAGGGAAGAGTAGTCACTTGGCTGGGTAGGACGGGGTGGGAAATCTGGTAGATTATTTCTTTTATAGAAATTCAGTTAGTTCTCCTTTTTTTAGTTTCACGTGTTATCGTGCCTGCTGTGGTATCTGGTGTCCCAAATTTCTGATTCATTCTGATTTTTTTTTTCCCATGTAATTTGGCTTTTCTCGTTGAAATTCTCTGTAGTTGCCTGGTGTTCTGCTTTCTTTGCTCTAAATCCTCTAGTTTTCATTTGCTAAGTATCTGTTGACATTTCTTGTCTACTGTTCCTGTTTTTTTTCTCTTATAGTCTCTTTATTTTTGTGAATTCTTCTTATTCCTTTATGTTTTTGTTTTTGGTACCAGGGATTGAACTCATGGCCTCAGGCTTGCCAGGCAGGCACATATGACACTGAGCTAAATACCTGCTCCTATTCCTTTAATCTTATTTCATTGTTTTTTTTTTTTTTAAACAAGACCTTAGTAAGGAAGTAATAAGTCATCATAACTTAGTTATTTGTGGGTAAAGAAAATTTTTAAGTTCTTAAAGATAAAAACAAAAAGGAAGAAGAAGCTAAGAAATAAAACTTACCAGTTAATTTTTTATATATTCCTTAATGGATTTTTAAAATATACACACATGGGTATATATTTATTATGTGTGTATTATGTATGGCTATATTATATATAATTAGATATTATATACATGTACTTATATATGTATGTATTTATTGATACGGGAGCTTGAACTTAAATATTTTACTACTGAACTACATCCCCAACTCTTTTTAGTTTAGTTTAGCTTTTTTTTTTTTTGGTACCCAAACCACTCATTGCCTCCCCCTTACCCCATTGGATGGCTGTATTACAGGAATGAAACCAGATTAAATACACAAAAAGAAAATGTCATCATTTATTCTGACATAACAGTATTGAATTCAGGTATTTTATGGATCACTAGCATAGTAAAAATATTTCCATCTGTATCTTTTAAATTTCAAAGTGATCACATTAAAGACCTGAGGTTACAAGGGACCACAATAAGAACCAGAATTCCATTTTCTTTCTAGGACTCCAGGGGAAAAAGTAAGTATTTGGAATGAGTTTCTTTTGGGAGAGACTGGAGGGAACTAGGACAAACCCTGGCTATTGTTGAAAGTTGCTGGGTCTTTCTGGAAGCAAATATTGGATGCAGTCTCCAGTAGTAACAAACTCATTTCCATTTCCTTCCTGAGAGTTCAGAACAAACATGCAAAAAGCACAAGTTCTTGGTTCCAGAATTCCAGTATGTTGATGTTGACCAGGGTCCACCTGGTTAGAGACAAACCTGAGGGTGTGGAGGCAAATTTCAATGTGGTTTTATTTTTTGCTTTCTGATATTAATAGAAAGAGTTCTAAGGTGTTTTACCAATACTTCCCCACATCCTCTCATACCTAAAAAGTTTTAATTTGAGATGGGATCATTATGTTGCCCGGTCTGATCTCAAATTTGTGATCCTCCTGCCTCAGCTTCCAGTTTATAGGCACATGCCACTATACCCAGCCACACATAGTTAAGTATATATTTTAGATATATATGTAATTCATATACATTATAGCACATGTAATTTCACAATCATAATATTTAAAGCTAGAAAGGATCATGGTGATATTTTACCCACCGTAGTTTCACTTTTCAGTGAAGAAAGTGGCTTAAATATGTTAGTAATATACTGAAAGTTTCAAAACCAAATTCCTCAGGAGTTCAGAATTGTATTAAAAATCTTTAATTCTGATTCTAGGTAAACAGCTTAAAGTTTTAAATTACTCCTGGCTGGGGGTTTAGCTCAGCGGCATAAGCGCCTGCCTTGAAAGCAGGCAGTCGTGAGTTCGATCCCCGGTACCGATAAAAAGGAAAAAGACAAAAAAAAAAAAAAAAAGTTTTAAATTACTCCTAATAGAAATCTGTACACTGATATTGGATTAGTGAAGTACTAGCTGATCTGATGATTTTGAAAGCGAAGTAGCAATTTAACACATTGTTTTGTTTATAATGATGATACATAATTTATTTTGAATATATATACTAAATGTTTGAGATTTTATTTATCTGACCTATGCCATTACATGGAACACATCCTGTTTTTTTGACTCTGAATGGCATCTAATAATTATCTTAATAAAAAATAGCATTTCATGTGGGAATCTAAAGGTTAACTTTATTTTTATTTTTATTTTTGGTACTGAGGATCTAACTCACAACCTTGCATTTGCCAGGCAGGTGTTTATGCCACTGAGCTAAATCCCCAGCAAGGTTAACTTTCAAATAAGATAAGTAAACTTTTTATCAGTGGAGATAATTTGTAAATATGAAAACTTTAGATTCAGGTTTTTCCTCTTTGTATACTAACTATGCAAACATTATCATAACTGCATAGAAATAAATTTCAAAAAAGAAAAACTTATGAAAAATTTAATGAAGTAGAAATTATATTTTTATTCTTATTCATATGTATATCTTTATATTCTCCATAGTTAATACTTTAATGAAAAGTCATAAAAAAGTATATATACATGGTTTGTTATTTTTAGCGTTACTGGAAATTAAACCCAGGACTTTTGCACTGAGTGACATACCTAACCCTGTTTATGTTTTATTTTGAGACAGAGTCTTGCTTGCTAAGTACCTATGCTGCCCAGATGGGACTTGAATTTGTGATCCTCTTGCCACAGCCTTCCAGATAGCTAGAATTGCAGGAGTGTGCCACAAGCCTGATGAATGTGTTTCTTTAATGTTTTTTCAAATATATTTCTAGCAGTAGGAAATGCTGTCAAATCATCAACATTTTTATGTTTTTAAAATTTAAATTTTTTACTTTCTAAAAAAACTTACACCACCACTTTATATAGGTGCCAGGAATAGTGCAGAGTTGACTTTACTATAACTACTTTAACTTGTTCCTTTACAAACTTTCACAAGTGAAACAGTTATAATACATTGTTTCAGTTTGTGGTTGATTGATAACATTTTATCCATTTACAAATTTAGAATTCTCAGAAAAGTCTGCCTCTAAGATAGTATCTTATCTTCAGGAAATGTAAAAATGAAGGAAAAGGTGGTGGATTACTAAACAAAAGGTCATGTAATTAATGACAAACAACTTAAAAATCACAAAATTAGGATAATAAACTATCTTTAAGGGTTGACTTTTTAGAGAGATATTTGAAAAAAATCAGAGGCGAGAAGACTGTATTAAAGCCATTCCTTATGTTTTCTGAAGAAGCCAGGCACATTTTAAAATTGTATCTTTTTTTTTTAATCGGTACCGGGGATCGAACTCATGACCGCCTGCTTGCAAAGCAGGTGCTTATGCCACTGAGCTAAATCTCCAGCCCCTTAAAATTGTATCTTAAAGACTTTACAGAGTAGTCCAGAATGGTGGTGTTTACTTGTATTCTCAGCTACTTAGGAGGCTAAGACAGGAGAATCACTTGAGTGTAGGTGTTCAAAGCGAGCCTGAGAACATAAATGAGACTCCATTTGTTGCTTTTTTTTAATGCGCAGTTTCATAAAAACTTGTATATTGTTCCACCCATTGTGTTACTGTGTTTGAAATAATTTTCTTTGAATTTAAGCTTATAGAAATGGGACGTCGATCATCAGACACCGAAGAAGAAAGCAGAAGCAAGAGAAAAAAGAAACATCGTAGACAGTCATCTTCCAGCAGTTCTTCTGATAGCAGAACATATAGCCGAAAGAAAGGTGGAAGAAAATCGAGATCAAAGTCGAGATCTTGGTCCAGAGATCTTCAACCTCGTTCCCATTCTTATGATAGAAGGTGAGTCTCACAATTTTCATTTATAAAATATTGAAAGTACATTTTTTGAAGCTCATATGTTTTTGTATTTTTTTTTTTTTGTTTTTTGTTTTTTTTGAGACAGGGTCTTACTATGCAGTTCAGGCTGGCCTTGAGGCCACTTTGTAGCCCAGGCTGGTCTCGAACTTGCAATGATCCTCTTGCCTCAACCTCCCGAGTGCTGGGATTATAGGTGTGAGCCACCATGCCCGGCTTATGTTTTTGTAATTTTAATTTTGTTGGATAAAGTACTTTTCTTCTTTTGGACAGGATCTTGACATATAGTTAGTCCAGGCTTGCCTTGATCTTGCTTTGTGGCCCAGGCTAGCCTGAAACTTGCAATCCTTCTACTTCAACTTCGGCAGTAGTGTATATCAAAATTTTAAAAAATAAGTTTTTGGTGGGGTGTAGTGGCACATGCGTGTAATCCCAGTACTTGGCGAGGTTGAGGCAGGAGGATAGGTGAGAAATTGAGGCCAGCCTGGGCTACATAGTGAGTTCGAGGCATAGCAGGATTATGTCCTGGGGCTCAGGATATAGATCAGTGATACAGAGCCTGCCTGGCAAGTGTGAGGTTGTGAGTTTGATTCCTGTACCAAAACAAACAAATAAGGTCTTGTCTTAAAAAAACAAAACAAAAACAATTTTTTTTCTTTATATTTTCATGGTGCTGGAGATGGAACCAGGACTTCACACATGTTAAGCAAGCACTATATCACGGAGCTGTACACATGGCCCTTATGTTTTTCTTTTAGTAGTTATTTATTAGAGTCCCAACCAAGAAGGTCTTTCTCATAAGCGTTAATCCATGGGTCTGGTGTTCTCGTCTGTTGTGTTGTCTGTACGTAACCAGATAAAAACTGATGTAGTTCTCATACTATATTATCTGATGATATTTGGAAAGACTGTTCTGCGTAAGACCAATGATCTTAATTAGTACCCAATTATAATGCTTTCATAGCTGATTTAATCATAAAATTATTAAGCATGTGTTCAAGAGAAATAAGAATTTATCTGTTTACTCCAAGGAAAGAATGAGACAGTAAAAATGGGATGATTCTTTAGACTTAGATTTGTCCTTAATGCCTATAACGAGAACTTCCTGTAGCAATATATTTGATTATATTTTTATTTCAGACGCAGGCATCGGTCAAGCAGTAGCTCTTCTTATGGCTCTAGAAGAAAACGAAGTCGAAGTCGTTCAAGGGGTCGAGGGAAATCTTACAGAGTTCAGAGGTCTAGGTCTAAAAGCAGAACAAGAAGGTAGGTCTTGTTGGTATTTATTATTTTGTAACAAATAATCCCCAAATTTAGTGACTTAAAACGATACTCATTTGTTTTTGAAGGATCCTGCAATTTTGACCAACTCAGCAGACACTTCTGCTTAGGCACTTGTGCATTTGTAGCCATCAGGCAGCTTCGCTACAGCTGGATGGTCCAATATAGTGTCACTCATATATCTTGCATTTGGTTTTGGCTGTTAGCTCAGTTGTATGTGGTTTCTCATTCTCGGGTAGGCTAGGTTGAGTTTTTTGTGTGTTGAAAGTATTTGAAGAAGGTGTGAAGAACAGAAGTTGCAGAATCTCTGGGCCTAACCCAGAAATAACATGGTGTGTTATGGACTAAATATTTGTGTCCCAAATTTCAGCTTGTTAAAGGTTCAGTTCTCGTTGTGACATATTTGGAGATGTGACTTTTATAGAGGTAATTAAGGTTACATGAGGGCTTAATGTTGGTGTTTTAATCTGAATGGGGTGGTGGCCCTGTAAGAAGAGGAGGGAGAGAAAACTTTCTCTTGGTGCTCAAGAGAGACCGTCTGGGGACACAGCAAAAAAGGCTACTGTTTACAAGACAAAAGAGAGCCCTCACAAGAAATCACAGTTGTCTGTGCCTTGATTTTGGGTATCTGGCCTGCAAAACAAAATAAATTTGTGGTGTTTAAGCTGCCCAATCTATAGTATTTTGATATGGTAAACAGGGCAGATTAGTTTTTAGTCTTGCTTTGGGGCCAAATACAGACAACAGTGTAACTGGAGAGACTTCTATATCTTGAGTGATAGTAGAAAATATAGTTTAATAGGATGAGAACATATTGAGTGACTTCATGAAAGTAGGCATTTCAGCCAGGTGTATTAGCACATGCTGTAATCGCAGCACCAGCGTGGCTGAGACAGGAAGGTAGCTGAGAGTCAGAGGCTAGCCTGGGCTATTAAGTGAGGGCTAGGCCTGCCTGAACTACATACATAGCAATACCATGTTTTAAACCTCTCTACCCGCTAAAAAAGAAAGTAGGCATTTAGAAATCATTGAGAGTTTTTGAATAGGAAATTGTTATGATAAAAGGAGGATAAAAACAATATTGTAAAAAGATTGATTTCTTTGCTTAGTTTTGCATACTATCAGGCTCTAGTTAGGAATGCACCTTAGCAGCATAACTGTTTTCTAGGCATAAAAATACAATAATTCTCTTTATGAACCTTAACATTAGATAATGGCAGCGAAGTCTGTATATTTACCTTTTCTGGCCTTTTATTATTTGGCCCTAGCCTCTTTTCCTTTTTACACATTCCTTGTATGAACCACTGTATTACATGCCTTTGCTCTCCATTTGCTCTCCCAGGGCTTTTGTTTGAGCATGCTCTTTCTTCTAATTTTCTACTTCATTTCTACTTTGAGAATTCTTTCAGCTTTGGGTAGTCAGATCTGTTTAACCTTTAATTTTATTCTTCCTTGAATCGTTTTATGATTTTTCCTTTTTCTTAAAAAATTTTTTTTGTTTTATTATGTGTGATGATCTTCCTGCCTCAGCCTCCCAATTGCTGGAATTACAATTGTGTGCCATCATACCCTCTGTAATAAGTTTATTATATATACGGGGCTGGGGATTTAGCTCAGCGTCATAAGCGCCTGCCTTGCAAGCAGGCAGTCGTGAGTTCGATCCCTGGTACCAATAAAAAAAAAAAGTTTATTATATTGAGCCTACTAGCCAAAAAAAAAAAAAAAAACACTTTCAATTTTAATTTCTTCTGAGGCAGGAGGATTACTGTAACCATGAGGCCAGCTCCCTAGGCTGTGTGGTTAAGTTGGCCAGGCCAAATTACATGGTGAGAAAAAACAAATATCACCACCCTCCCCCCAAATTAAAAACCCAAATAATTTTTTATATAGAGAATTTTCAAACACTGTGTCAATCAGGCTAGAAAAAACTCTAAGTATGAGAGCTTCACTATAGGGAATTAATGGCTTATGTAATCTTCGGAAGGATTCCAGGAGTGAAGGTTAGGGAAACTGTCATATTATTTTAGGCTGAAGCACCGGTGTATATTATTTTCTCAGAATAACTGGAAGTCCTAAGAATTCTCTCACAAACCGGGTGGTTCTCAACAAACTACTTACTTGGTTCTCAGGAAATTATTTCCCAGAAAGCTGTTTTTCTGCCCAAGTGTCTACCTATACCTTCCTCCAGTGGAGAAACTGGAAATATACTCATTTTCTTTTCTTTTGCAATGCCAGGGAGACTTTAAAAGGAGAGGCCGAGCATTTAGTCAGCAGTGGATAATTTAAGACACACATATTTGAACTTTGTAACTCTGTTAGACTGTTAACATAGGTATCACCTTGATTTCATATGTAAAGAAACAAGTTCAGAAGTTTATTCAAAACAATTTCTTAGTTGTCTGCATTGGTGCTGAGGCCTATGTTTAATATCTAATTTAGACACTGAAAATACTTAAATTTTGAGAAATTAATACCATTTATGTCTAACACACTGCATTATTTTGGAAAATATTCTAAAAGTTTATTCTTCAAAGTGTTTAAATTAAATGGGTTTCTAGGTTGATCTTGGTTTAACCAGAATACTTCATCACCACCCTCCCCCCAAATTAAAAAACCCAAATAATTTTTTATATAGAAGATGGAAGTACTGAGTTTTTCAGAGAAAACTTGTATGCTTCTAAATCTGCTGCTCATAACATGGCAGCTAGGAAACAGAAGAGAGCTGGGCTGGGAGATCGCTGTTATATACCCTTCCTGGGAAGGCCTCTAGGGCTTACCTTCAACCAAGCACTGCTTCCTAACAGACACTCAGCTACTGAATTCACTGATGACTGCAGTACCTCTGTGATCCGATCACCCTCCAAAAGCTCTGTCTTTGAGTGCACAAGGGTTTGGGGAACATTCTAAATCTAACTCTTAACAGTGTTCTAGGACATTCAAGATACAGCAGATATTTTGCAGTTCCTAAAAAGCCACCATGAATGAACTTGCACATGCATTTTTTTTTTTTTTTTTTTTAACTGTTAGATGTACATGTTCATAGGAATTTCCTGGAGTTTAGATTTCTGGGTCAAAGATAAAAATTTCATGAGAAATTTCCAAATTTTTGTCAGTAAAGTTTGGGAGTCTGTTTTCCTACAGTATCAGCAGTAGAGTGTGTTATTATGTTTTTTAATGTTTGAGAATCTGAAATGGTATTTTAGTTCTTTTGTAACAGGTTGAACATCTTTTCATATTTTTAAGGACCATTTTTCTCTTTCTGTAATTTTCTGCCTGTATACTTTGGGTTTTTGGTCTTTTTTCTTTCAATTTTTAAGTTATTTACTGTGATGTACAAGACAATTTTTTTATAGCTTATAAGTATCTCTTGTGTTTGTTTACATATATCTTGGTAATCTGACTTTTTTCTTCTGTGTGGTCAATTTGTTGCTTTTTATTATATCTTTCTCTTATTCAGGACATGGAAGTTTTTCCTTCTATTTAGAGATGGCCAAATTCACTCTTGTCTTTTTTGTGATCCTGGGGTTTGAACCCAAGAACTGAGCTACAACCCCAGTACTTTTAAAAAAAATTTTTTTTATTTTGAGACAATATCTTACTAAATTGCTAAGTTGTGCAGGCTGGTCCTAAATCTGTGATACTCCTGCCTTAGTCTCCCATGATTTTTTTCCGATTATACTTGATTTTTTCTTTTCAATATTTAGATCATTTATTTAGATTTATTCTTAAAGGCATGGATCCACTTTCTCAATTTCTAATTGGCTTTTGTCACATCATATTAAAAGTCCATCTTTGTCTGAGTAATTTGTGATTTCTATGTCAAATTAATTTTTTTTTTGGTGGTATTGGTGATTGAATTCATGAGCTCATGCTTGCCAAGCAAGGCATTTATGCCGCTGAGCTAAATCCCCAACCATTAAATTAATTTTTATTCCTTAGTCATTTTTGAAAAATCTTTATTTTGAGCTAATTTTAGATTAACAGTAAAGTTGTGAAAAATATACAGTTCTCTTCTATTTTTCATACTACTTCTTTGGCTGGTCTTGAACTCACTGTGTAGCCCAGGCTGGCTTTAAACTCATGGCTGTCCTCGTGCTCCAGCCTTCCAAGTGCTGGGATGACAGGCATGTGCCATTACTACTTCACTTTCTATAATCAAAATCATCACATCAATATTGGTACAGTACTGGTAGACCTCAGATCTTATTTAAATCTCCAGTTTTTCCAAAAGTATCCTTTTTCCATTTCTAGGATTCAATCCAAGATCTTACATTGCATTTTTATCTGTCTGAATCATCCCCAGTTTGTGAGGATTCTCTTTGTTCATCTTTCATGACCTTTACAGTTTAAAGAATCCTAGACATTTATTTTGTAGGCAGTCTTTCAATTTGAGTTTGTGTGAGGTTTTCTCTTTGGAAAAAGCCTTGCATTTTTGGCAAGAACATTGTACAAACGATGCTGTATCCTTTTTAATGTATCATAGCAAGAGGTGTTCATGATGTTGCATTGTCACTAGTGGTGTTAACCTTGATCATCTGGGTAAAGTGCAGGTTTTGTCTAGAAGACTACTGTGTTTCCCTTTGTAGTTGATAGATACCTAATGAGAGATTTTCAGGCTAAAAATATTCTACTTCTCAAACTTTGGCCTACTAAATTTGACAATTTTCATTGGATCCCATCTGCAGTAATTACTTTGATGTTTGCTCGTTAATGTCTCAAATAATTTTTTTTGTTTGTTATAAAATAGGGGTTTAGGTTCATTTATTTTCATGTGCAGTCTAGCACTTTCTTTTATTTTAGGTTGGTGAATAGGTGATCCTTTTTTTTTTGGTACCAGGGATCAAGCACTTGCCAGGCAGGTGCTTACGCCTCTGAGCTAAATCCTTGGCCCTAGGCAGGTGATCTTACTGCCTCAGCTGACCAAGTGCTCCTGTTTCAAGTATGTGCCACCACAGCCAGATGTCTAGCACCATTTTAAAAAGAGT